GGGGGGGGGGGGAAAACAGAGAAACAGGAGGAAAAAGGTGAGTAATATATAATAATAATAATAATAATAAAATGAAGAGAGTTTCCCCCCTCCCCTCATGCACAATCACACAGAAAACGTCGCAAAAAAGCCGGTTGGCACGCAGTTTTTCGACTCGTTTTCCTCTACCAGCAGTTATTCTTTCTTCTTTTGCTTTTTCCATTCCCTTTGCGGCGAGTGCATGCGGCTGCGGCAGTTGTCACGTGGTCATGTGTACGACGACAGATTTATGGTAAGACGTTGCGGAACTGCCGTCGCCGTGTGGTTGTGCTGCGACCCTCCCTCCATCTTTAGGGACGACTCGTGCGGTGTTTCCCCAAAACCCTGCAGTTGCACGAGTCGACGCAACGTCGCAGCCTCCTTGCTGCAAAGTGATTGAATGACAGACTTCAACTCGCACACATGATAGCGCATCAACTGCTGCGTCAGCGCGGCGCAGGCATCGGGGTAGAGGGAACACATCGTGTCTGTCGCGTCAACGTAAAAAGATGATTCTGCCTCCAATATCAGCAGGGCGCGAATGAAGAGACGGACGCGTTCCAGGACCAACGAACTGTGCTTCTCTTGGAGGAGCATTTCCTTGTGAATGATGCACAGCAGTGCGTGCTGTACACATGGCGACCACTGCCGCCGCAGCTCGGGCTGATGCGCCGAGGAACACGCAGTAAAAATAATGCTGCACAGACGCACGTCTTGATGCATTTTGGGAAACACGCGCTGCAGCAACGCCAACGGGTCAGCGCTTCGGGCCAGGGCCTCCATAAGGCGAGATAATGCGGCCTCCATAACACGCGATCCCACAAACAACGGCTGCTGCTGCTCGTCCGCCAAATTAATAAGTTGCAGAAGCACAAACCCACACGCAGTCGCAAGTCCCATCTCCCGTCGCTTCTCCTCCGAAATGTGCTGCATGTACGCCCTTGTAGCCGGTGTGGGCTCGTCACCCACAACTAAAACATCAACGTCAAAAGAACGTAAAACGGTGTTGATGCAAGCAACGCTGCAAGAAGCCTCAACGGCAAGGCGTAGACTGGCGAGAGAGCCCACACAGGGGCGATGATGAGTTGCCAGCGCCAACAAGACCGGTTCTACTTCAGCCGCATACTTCTCACAGGTTGTTGCCGCGGCAATCTCCAGCAAATAAGTGGCATCCTCATCGTTTATTGCTTCATCACCTTCCTGCAAGAGAAGCCCAAACGCTGTGCTTGCTATGAGTTCCTGATGCTTTGTGGATAGAAGGGGCACAATGGTTCGTAAGGGACGCAATGCTACGCCTGGAGTACATATCACCAAGCACAAAAGGCATCCTGCCGCGTGGCGGACGGTTGGGCCCAACGCCTGCACAGCGGAGCACATATTCTCCAGAACACTGAGAACGGCAGCAAGATCGGCGTGTATGCATTCATCTAGAGTTGTTGAAATCATATCATACGTCGGTTCAAATCCGTGCACCATTGCCATGGATGCCACCAACTGGTTGCTTATTAAAGCCACAGCCGCCTGCCCACTCAATGACGCAAGGGCATCCAATGCAGCTTCTTCTGCCTGCAACCAACCTGCCGCTGCCGCCCGTGTGCGGCAAGCCGAAAGCGCCAAGACAACACGTCCACATCCGCCGTGAACAATGGCCTCATAGTCCGCATCACATCTCTCCAGTGTTTCTAATAGTGTCATCAAAGCCAAAACTACACGGCGTACACTATTGTCATCTGCCAAATTGCAGTTGATAAAACTCTCTGCGAGCAGACAACTCTCTTCGCAACAAAAGACAGAGCTCTGGATAACTCTCCGCATGCCGCTCACTAACATGACACGCCAGGAAAGCAAAAACGGTGTTGAAATATCCTTTACTCGGTTACCATATTTCTCCACGACGATGAGAAGGGCATTAACTGCAGGCCGTATAAAAATAGGCTCCACTTCCGCAAGCGAAACGGACCAAAAAAGCAAATTCAGGTGGCGCACAAGAGCATCGCCCTCCAAATTGACGTATAGATCTGGCTGCCGCATCATTTCAGTCATCAGTGACAAGACCGCCAGTTTGGATCCCACTTCACTTGCCACCATTTGCACCTGCTTCTCGTCGTCATCCCTCTTTCCATTCATTTTCGTTTTCTTCACTGACGACAACTCCCCCATTTCTTCCTCGTGGTTGCTATTCATCAGCGGCTCATGCCTGGTGCACACTTCATCACAAAGCTGCGCTGGCTTCCCTCGCATAATGAGCTCCATTTCCTCCAGAAATACGCTCAAATGCTTCCGGTCGGAATTTTGCAGGATAATACGAGCCACATTTATCCATGCATTACGAGTTTCCGTAGAAACCGCTGCATCCAACATTTGTGCAATTCTCAAAAGTGGAGCACGAAAAAAATCCACCGTACTAACAACACTGCAGCAAACCCCAAGCATCTCTGCTGCTGCTCGGGAAACGGAGTCGCTAAAGCGACCATTGCCTTCCAAAAGCCCCAACACCTCCTTTTTAAGGGCGAGGGAATTTAAAGCAGTCAAAAAAGAAGCAGATACATTTGCCATCGCATCCGTCGGTGTATGGTTTGGATCATTCACAGCGAGACGCACCGTGTTCAGCACGGCACTGGTGACTTCATCATGGAGTGCTCGAGAGGAGAATAGAATTTGTATCACGCCCCGGACGCAGACATTCACACCTTTGTTCACCATCGCCTGCTCATGCGGTAATAAAATCAAAAACAGCTCGAGTAAAAGAACAAAGACGAATGGGTCAACTATTGTTGTCATGGCAGGCAAAAGGAGTTGTGCCACCAAAGCGGCCGGTAAGACGGAATTGATGAGTTGCGAGTGTCGTGGCGTCATGCGTACCATTGCCACCAATGCGGCAGCCGCAATTGCCATGCCGCCACTCACACCGTGTTGCCTCAACACACGCAGTACAAAAGAGATCGCCATGGATGCGGTGACACTGCTTCCGGTCCCGTGCATCTCGCCTAGAGCGAGTAGGACACCGCTGAGGCGGTAGGCATCCTCGCCGTCGTTGAAGTTTTTCACGACGACGGAAGTGTAGTCGTCAAGTTTTCCTGTAATTACCGCCAGACGTGCCAACAACCGCGCTGCTGCACGCCGCACTGCCCATACACTCGATGACAGCCAGTGTTCTTCCACAAACATAAACCATTCCATCGCTGATGTCTTCACCCATTCGTGTTCACTGTCACACCGCGCGAAAATGCCGTTGAGGCAGCACAGAACGTTCCACGCCGTCACTACCGGGTCCGCCTCGGCAGCAGCGCACCACTCCCGCAGGCTAACAAACACACGCTGCACACATTCCTCCCCCGCCCTCTCCGTGCAACCACCAACAATCAGTGAAACCGCACGCCACGTGGCAACTGCCTGCGGCTTTTGCGTCATATTCGGCAAAAGACGCTGATAGTCATCAAGGCATTCCTCTGCCACACCTACAAGTCGTGTCCCCCCCATGTCACTAATTTCGCCTTCTTCTTCTGCTGCACAAGGCACACCGTCGCGGTTGGCATCAGACACATCCGCAAGTGCTTTTGCCAAGATACCACGCTTACCCATGCCATCTGAGCAGACCAACCAGGGCGCACCAGTAAACAGCGCATACGCCGCAGACCACACTGACTGCTGTGATGAGAAACCGGCCACCTCAAGCGCATCTAACAACGCGACTACAAGCTTCAGCTCAATGTCGGACGCACCAACTTCTGTAAGTACGGCGCATGCGGAACTCGCAGCACGCGCATAAAGTGATGTACCAGAAGGATTACTAACGAGAAGACTTAAAAAAACCCGCACGGACATCTTGACATTCGTGATAGTTGCAGGAGACAACTGATCACGCTGATGTTTGAGTAGCAGAAGCGCAATTCGATTAAAGTATTCAACGCGTCTAAAAAAAATCATCTCCACCTTCGGAGGTGTAATGCCAATACTAAACGATGCAAAAAGGGCAAGAAGGGTCTCCAATACGCATGGCCGCTGCACAAACTCGGCTGGCATGGCAAGGAGTGCTTTTGCGTGCAGCGCAACGGATGTTGGAAGTGGTTTATCGGTTTCAATTTCATTACTTGCGGTGTATAACCGCCGCAGCAACGCCCGACCACAAACTTCGTTTTGGTGCGCAAGACACGCCATGGCTTCGCTCGTCACTTGCATGAGGGATGAGTGCCGCA